CTACCAAACATCTAAGAACAAAATGATAACATTCTACACAATTACTTCCCACCATGTCCGCCCAAGGGGCGGGGGGGGGGGGGGAGGGGGATGACACGACACAGAAGAGGAAAATCACTTTATGAAGTTAGCATTATCCCGATATGAAAAACACAAAAAGACATTACAAGAACAGAAAAATGAAGGCCAATACCCCTCATGAACACAGATGCAAAAATCCTCCAAAAACAAAAAATTAGCAAATTAAATCTAGCAATACCAAAAAGATAAACCTCATGACCAAGATGAGTTTTATCCTGGGAATGAGTGTAAGGCTATCTCAAGATTTAAGAATAGATCATTATAGTTCACGATATTAACAAACAAAAGAAGAAAAACATGATCATCTCAACAGACACAGAAAAGGCACAACAAAATTTAACATCCATTCGTGATAAAAATTCTCAGCAAAATAGGAATAGAAGAAAATTTCCATAACTTGATAAAATATGCCCAATAAAAACCTAAATCTAGGGGGCTGGCCTGGTGGCGCAGCTGTTAACTTCACACATTCCAGTTCTCGGCAGCCGGGGGTTCACATGGCACCACTTGGCAAAAGCCATGCTGTGGTAGGCGTCCCACATATAAAGTAGAGGAAGATGGGCATGGATGTTAGCTCAGGGCCAGTCTTCCTCAGCAAAAAGCGGAGGATTGGCAGTAGTTAGCTCAGGGCTAATCGTCCTCAAAAAAAGAAACCCTAAATCTAACATTGTATTAATGGGGAAGGACTACAAGCTTTGCTCGCTAAGATCAGGAACAATGCAAGGATATTCACTGTCAGCACTCCCATAAATCATCATCCTGAAAGTTCTTGCAAGTGCAATAAAGCAAGAAAAAGAAATGAAAGGCTCATACATTGGAAATAAAAAAGTATTAATGTCTCTGTTTGCTAACACGATTGGCCCAAGGAATTTCCAAACATAATCTCTTAAAAGCAAAGAGTGGCGTTAGCAAGGTTGCTGAAACACGATATATATTTAAAAAATCAGTTTTTTCTATAAACTAGTAAAAAAAATGAATGGACACTAATATGTTTTAAATACCATTTCAATAGCACTAAAAACATAAACTATTTAGTTGTAATAATGGGCAAGATCTCTATGCTGAAAACCATAAAACTATGATAAAAGAAATCGAAAAAGGCCTAAATATGGAGAGACAAACCATGTTCATAAGTCTCAATATATTAAGATATCCATTCTTCCCAAACTGATCTACAGATTTAACACCAAATCAATCAAAATTCCAGCAGGATTTTCTGTAGGAACTGACAACTTGATTCTAAAATGCATATAGAAAAGAAGAGGAAGTAAAGAGCTAAAATCATTTTCAAGAACAAGATGGACTCATACTACTTGATTTCAAGACTTACTATAAAGCTACAAATCAAGATAATTTGGTATAGTAAAAGAAGAAACACATAGATTGGGGCCAGCCCAGTGGTGTAGTGGTTAAGTTGGCATGCTCCACTTGGGCAGCCCAGGGTTTGCAGGTTTGGATCCTGAGCACAGACCTACACACCACTGTGCTGGCATCCCACAAACAAAACAGAGGAAGACTGGCATAAATATTAGCTCAGGGACAATCTTCCTCACTGAAAAAAAGAAAAAAAGACGACGAAGAAGAAATACATAGATCAAAGTGGAATCTAAAAAATACACCCCTTTACCAAAATAGACAGATCCAGCAGGCAGAAAATCACTAAGAACACAGTTGAACTCAAAGAACCATCAATCAACTGGATATAATTGATATCTACAGACTACTTTATCTAACAATAGAATACACATTCTTATCAAGCTCACATGTCATTCATCAAGACAGACTATATTCTGGGCCATAAAAGACACCTTAAGCAATTTAAAAAAGTAGCTGGAAAATTCCAAAATATTTGGAGACTAAACAACACATTTCTAAATAATACATTAAAAAGTCTTATTTCTATTCAAATAAGAAATCTCAAAAGAAATTTAAAAATATTTTGAAGTAAAAGAAAATGAAAATACAACAAATATTTGTGGGATGCAGCACTCAGAGGAAAATTTACAGCACTGAATACATATATTAGCAAAGAAAAAAGATCTAAAATCAATAATCTAACCTTCCAATTTAGGAAATTAGACTAAATCTAAAGTAAGCAGAAGAAAAGAAATAATACAAATTAGAGCAAAAAAACCAGTAAATTAAAATCAGGAAATCAATAGAGAAATCAAAAGCTAGTTCTTCAAGAAGATCAATTAAATCAGTGAGACTTGATGCAATCCCTATCAAAATCCCAATGAAGTGTTTTGCAGAAATAGAATAAAATCCACCCTAAAATTCCTATGGAATCTCAACAGATCCCAAATAGACAAAACAATCTTGGAAAAGGAAAAATTTCCTGATTTTAAAACAAAGCTACAATAATCAAAACAGTATGGTAATAGCATAAAGACAGACATACAGAACAATGAAGGAGAATAGAGTCCAGAAATAAATCCTCACATATATGATCAAATGATTTTTGACAAGTGTGCTAAGACGTTTCATGGAGAAAGGAGAATCTTTTCAACAAGTGGTGCTGGGAAAACTGGATATCCACATGTAAAAGAATGAAGTCAGATCCTTCCTTTACACCATATACAAAAGTTAACTCAAAATGGATCAGAGACAGAAACGTAGGAGCTAAAACTATAAAACTCTTAGAAGAAAACATAGGGCAAAAGCTTCGTTACACTGATTTGGCAGAGACTTCTTGGATATGACACCAAACATACAGGCAACAAAAGAAAAACAGAGACAATTTGGACTTCATCAATATGAAAAAATTTTATGCATCAAAGCACACTATCCACAAATCAAGTATCTGATAAGGGATTAATATCCAGAATATACAGAGAACTCCTACAATTCAAAAACAAACAAAAAAATCCAATTAAAAAACAGGCACAGGATTGGAATAAACATTTCTCCAAAGATATTCAAATGGCCAATAAAACACATGAAAAGACGCTCAAAGTGCTATCATTAGGAAAATGTAAAGCAAAGCCACAATAAGATACCACTTCATACCCATGAAGATTGTTATTATCTAAGTAAAAAGAAAACAAAAGAAAAGAAAATAGGCGTTGGCAATGATATGGAGAAATAGGAATAGTTGGGCACTGCTGGTATGGAATGTAAGTCATGTAGCTGCTATGGGAAACAGAATGGTAGTTCCTCAAAAAAATTAAATGTATAAGTACCACATGATCCAGCAATTCTACTTCTGAGCATATACCTAGAAGAAATGAAAGCAGGGACATAAAGAGATATTTGTTCACTCATGTTCATAGCAGCATTATTCACAAAAGCCAAAAGGTGGAAGCAACTCAAGTATCTATCAACAAATGAATGGATAAACAAAATGTGATATATTCATACAATAGATTATTATTCAGCCTTATAAAAGAAGGCAATTCTGACACATGCTATAATATGGATGAACCTTGAAGACATTATGCTAAGTGAAATAAGCCACACACAAAAGGACAAATATTCTATGATTCCACTCAAACGAGGTAGTTAAGAGCAGTCAATTTCATAGAGACAAAAGTAGAAAGACGATTGCCACGGGCTGGGTGGAAGGGGATTGGGCAGTTATTGTTCACTGAGTATAGAGTTTCAGTTGTGTGATATGAAAAACGTTCTATGGATTGATGGTGGTGATGGTTGCACAATATGAATGTACTTAATGCCACTGAACAGTACATTTAAAAATGGTTAATTTTATGTTATGTGTATTTTAATACAATTTACAACGAATAACTTTTTGAAAAATCCCTTCCTACTTAAAGTGCTTAGAATGGCTTTTATTTTCCTGATGAAGACTCTGACCAGTTACCACCTTTGAACAAATGTTAACCTTCAGTACAAAAACACAAGTATTCAACTCAACAAAGGCTATCCCTAGTATATTATGAAGAAAAAGGACGTTTAACATTAATTAGTAAAACACTGTATTCAAATATCAATTGGAACATGATGCTCTAAATAATTTAGAAACTTAAGGATAATTTCTTAAAATAATCAAGATTATATTCTAATCTATATATACTGTGAGTAAAAAACCTACTAATTTTTGATTCAAAACTTTCGGGGGGGGCAGTCCAGTCATGTTCATTTCCCTTTTAGAAAACAGGGCATGTGAAATATAGTTTTCAACAACAGAGCTATCCTTGCCTATCTAACCACCAGTCTGGAAGTTACATGGAGAAATGAAGGAAAGAACAAAGAAATTAAAGCTACTAACTCTAAGATAAAAGACGTCTTTCTTTCAGCTGTATCAGTTGGAGTAGTTACAATAAGAATTTGTTAGCCAGCAATGATTATGAAGGCACTTTCATCCTACGGGATAGATTCACAGGACAGAGGTCAAAGGTCTATCACTTAAATAGGATACTAGTTATTTGTTTTAAGAATCATTTTTCACTTTCTTTTCTCTATAAATTCAATAGTGGGAAGAACCAGGCCAAACGAAGACAGTAAGGATAACAGAAAAGAATGAATTATAAAGATGGATGTACAAGAAATAAAAGAAGAGAGAGGTCAATTAAATTGGCAGAAAGAGGTGTAGAATTTTTTCCCCGAAACATGATAAACTTCACTAAAAAACTTTTAATATACACTGGAAATTTAATATAATTCAGAATACTGAGATATCTAAGTATTTCAGCAAAAAAAGTTCATTTGATGGTACATGTAATAGAATTGGTTATAAAAATGTCATCATGTGGCATGAATCCAGAAAACATTATAATGAAGATGCAGTAAATTCATTTTTCTTTCACTCCAAAAGAGGTATAGATTTTTGTGCTTAGATTTTAGTTGGAATATTCAGTAATCACAAAAGACTGCTATGAGTTTCAATAAATATCTGCATCTCTGCCAGTAAAAGGAATTAAGGTTGTGGGCAGGGGAGCGGGATGGTGTTCAAATAGTACCTTTTGCATCATCAGAACCTGAAGCCAAGAGTTTAGGATCCATCAAATTAAAGTCAACACTCCAACACCTCTTCTCATGCTCCTGGATGTAGAAGAAAGACAAAGTATTCTCAAACAGAACATAGATCTTAAAATAAATAAAGCAAAAAAAAAAAACCCTGGATACCAATTTATTGCTATGGTGGAAGGGAGAAACAACAGGCTATGAAAATAAATGAGATGCAAAGCAGTTCCCAAACTTTTTATATATACATTTCCTAAAATTACTGCTTTTGGAAATTCATTTGATACATTCTACAAATGCAAAAGTCTGAGGAGACGCTTCAGAAAGTATTATTTGGTATTATGTAGGAACAAAACAAATGCTAGTGACTTTAAAGATTCTATTTTTCCTTTTTCTCCCCAAATCCCCTGGTACATAGTTGTATATTTTTAGTTGTGGGTCCTTCTAGTTGTGGCATGTGGGATGCCGCTTCAGCATCGTTTTATGAGCGGTGCCATGTCCGTGCCCAGGATCCGAACCAGCGAAATCCTGGGCTGCCCAAGCAGAGCTCGCAAACTCAACCACTCGGCCATGGGGCCGGCCCCGCTACTGACTTTAAATTTGTAATTCTAAAGCACATGAAGCTCTAGAATTATTAAGGGAAAAAAGTAAAAGAGATTCTTAAAACAAATAACTAGTGGGCTTACTTACCTGATAGACCTTTGACCTCTGTCCTGTGAATCCATCCCATAGGATGACGGTGCCTTCATAATCACTGCTGGCTAACAGGTTCTTATGGTAACTACTCCAACTGATACAGCTGAAAGAGGAAAATATAGTTAAGCCTTACTTATTTATGTAAAAGTAAATAAAAAATACAAAGAATTTGCACGTGTTCAGAAAGATCAGAATGCTTTCAAAATGGTCTAATGAGTTCACAATCATTATTCCGCCCACAATACATCTGGGAAGAAATGTACCAAATAATTCCCAGATTTTCCTATTGAAAATACCAAGTAATGACCCTTACCACTTTTCATCTGAATACTAGCTGGAAAATGGATCTGAGCCTAAAGCCACCACTGGCCATCTGTGATACATGAGGAGAGCATGTCTACGAGTGAAGAAAATAGAGGCGAAGGGGGCACAAAGCATGCTATGGCAGAATGACAGAGACTTAATCAGGTTGTTCAGGCCCCTGGATCCAGTTATGCTGAATCATAGAAGCCAATAAATTAATTTGAATTGTATTTACATCCAAAAAAACTCTTAACTAGTATAAGCTTATGACTGAAATTCCAATTAAAAGCATTTAACAGTTAAATCAAACTTTTAACATTTATGGTTTCAGCTATTCTCAAGTGCTCCAAAATTGAGAATGCAACATCTAAAAATGTGTGCTTTTGGTGAGACACATATGCAAATCATGCATATAAGTAAAGCTAATGTAAATTAAGGAAGAAGCCACTTAGAAAGCAATTAACCTAGACGACTTACAAGCTTATGAACACAATAAAGTCTTCTGCTCTCTACTACTTGCATTCATACTAAATTTCAGGGATTGGAAGAGTCATTTGCATGTTTAAATATACTTAATAGAATTTCTGGGAGAAATTATATAGAAGAGTTAAGAGCTAAATCTTGGATTTAGATAGACCTGAGTTCAAATTCCAGATCTGCCACTTACTAGCTGTGGCTTTGGGTAATTTAGCTCACTTTCACAGTTGGTGTGCTCCAAATTGGTTTTAGGCATGCTTACATACTGATCTTTTCAGTCCCAAGCCCACAGCTTCCAGTCTTGAATAGCTTCATCTGTTTACTCCAAGGTGCCATAAAGTACTGCCATATTTTTACATGTGTCAAGACAGAAAAGGTAAACTTTCTAATCTACATTTTCATTACAGTAACGTTTACTCTGAATTCTTGATATGGGCCTAGCTGGAAAAGTATTGTGCTGAGTGCATTACATGGATTTATTTAAAGTATAATCCTATGCAACACATATTACTATTATGGCCTCCATGACATAAATGAGGAACATGAAACGGTTAAGAGGACAGACTCTACTTCTGCTTGAATCCTGGCTCCTCCAGAGATTAGCTGTGTAACCTTAAGCAAGTTAGCTAACCTTTCTGTGCTTCAGCTTCCTTGTGCATAAATGGGGAAATAGCGGTAACTCTCTCATAGGCCTACTAAAGACAAAGCACTTAGGACAAAGCCTGCCACATAAGAATTCAATGAAGTTATGTCATACTCATGTTGCATTCTTTCCACTTATGACAAAAACTATAACGGCTTCCCAATGATGATCACCACTGATGAATGAGCAGGCTCACAAATTATCAGTCTGCCGTTTGTATGGATGAATTAGGAAACAGAAAGGAAAGCTGTAACAAATTATATAAAGACTGTAATACCTGCTATATTATTAACATTATTAAAATGAGCGCACACACACACACACACACACAATATATGTCATTCATACAGACAAAAAAGGCACAAGGATGAATACTCGGGAAATGTTCAAAGTTCTAAATAAATGTCTTATTAAGATGATTTCCTTATATCATTCCCTTTTAAGCCAGTGCTCAAAACTTGAGAATAGCTTAGGAACTTATTTAAATGATGCAGATTCTAGGATTCCTCTGAGGTTTAGGTGGCAGATCAGAGGCAGGGTCCAGTGCCTGCATTTTTAACAGTATTCCAGGTTTGAAGAGCACTCATTATGAACTCTAACCCCTAATACATGAAACTTAAATATTATCTTCTCAATGAAAAGAATGTTCTTGAGAAAATAACTCTTAGAACTATAAATAACTATAATATTTGGAGACATGTGCATGCTAGGGGAAAAATTCTGACTTTCAGACACTACTCATAAGCTACAGTAATCCTTTATTCAACAGCCCATGAAAAGCTATCTACAACAAAGATCTTTATTTGATTAAGTTGAAAGAAAGAAGACTTTCACTTGGCAAATAGAAAAACAATAACTACTAAGACACACAGGGGAAAAGCAACAAGTTATCTATAACAAAGATATTCTGATGTATCCTCTCTAAGCAATTATAGTGAACACTATAATTGTTCACCATGAATGAGTACGGAGTCTCATGGAAAGGTAAAATAACAAACTCATTCTAATTATAGATACTAACTGTGATATATACACTGCATTATGCCAAGAAAATAATGTAAGTACCTGATTTTGGAATTGCAGGTCATTTCATTTTCAGGGTAATGAATATCCACTGCATCTTGAATGACTGTGCCATATTCATAGACTTTAATCTTCTTTGTAACCCCAGCAATTGCAAAATAGTCACAATCCCGATCAAATTCAATACTAAGGAAAAAAGCAGATACTTGGTCAATAAGACTATTTACCTATCCTTGTGATGTTTACAATGACAACACTTCAGAACTTGATTTTTTCTGTTTCTAAAATGATTCTGTCTGTAAAGATAAGAGATCTACTTGAAATGCTTCAAATTGTACCAGGCTTTATCTATGTTCAGATTAAGTCATTATCAAGACATACCAAACTACAAATGGTAGTGAAATGTGCACAGCTACGCAATTCTGCTTATAGATGGTTCTTTTGTTCCTAGAAACTTGACATGTTTTTCAATTTAGCTTTAGTAAACATATTTCAACTTACCAATTGTGAAGGCTAAAAAGTTATAATGTAAAAGTAGAGAGGAAAGATTTAATGGTTTGGTATACTAAAAATACATCAGAAGAGAATTACCAAATTACCTTTTCAAAAATTCTAAGTATTTCCCTTCCCACCATTTTGTGAGGATAAGAGAATTTCACAGTATTTAATATTATTTTAATAAATAAATTAGTATACAAGCTGAATTACTGAAGCAATTAAGGAAGGGGTGATGACAAAGGAATAAAATACACATAAAATGGAATCATTAAATTATCATTATGTTTTCCCAAATCCATTTCTAACTTGCTAATCAAATATGATCTTTCTGACTTATGAACCCCCAATACAGACTCCTTATACCACAAATAAGACAAAAACTAAAAATCTCCCTTTTTTTAGAGTGACTCAGGGAATTCATCCCTCTCTTACTGACTTTTTATACAAGTTCCAAAATAACCTACATCAAAGCAAAGCACAAGACCTTATCCACCTTTATAGAGCTTAACTTGGAGACTCAACAAAGTTGTATAATCAGCAAGAAATAAAGTGACCTAATAGAATTAAGAGTGAAACGAATCATCACATACATTATTTAGAAGTTCAGCCATAAGACTGGAGAATACATGAGAATTCTGAATGATCTACAATTAATTACATAATAATAGTAATAGTTAACGTTCACTGACCACTAACTATAACGACTGCACATATTAACTCATTTAATTCTCATAATAACCCTATAAGACAGGTATTATTATTATTTTTTCCTTTTTATCCCCAAAGCCCCCCAGTACATAGTTGTATACTCTTCGTTGTGGGTCCTTCTAGTTGTGGCATGTGGGATGCTGCCTCAGCGTGGCTTGATGAGCAGTGCCATGTCCGCGCCCAGGATTCAAACCAATGAAACACTGGGCCGCCTGCAGCGGAGTGCGTGAACTTAACCACTCGGCCACAGGGCCAGCCCCAGGTATTATTTTTATCCACATTTTACACATGAGAAAACCGAGGATTAGTGGTGAAGTAATTAGCTGAAAGTTAGCTGGCTTCTAAGTGGCAAAAATGATATGCTAGTATTCTGCATATTTTAAGCATTCACTAAATGCATACACATGCTACATGACATACTTTTCTTCATGGATTACCCGTGATATCCTTTTATAGAACTGTTAATGATTAGTTAATAATTTAGTAAGAAACTTACTGAGTTGATGATGATGAATTAGGAAAATAAGTACACTTTAAGAATATTTCCCATAAAAACACATGTTGAGATGTTCACTTTTCACTACAGCTTTAAATCCTTTGATAATTTCATAAAAATTTTTAAAGGAATTTCATTAAATGTCATTGACTATAGCACAATGCAGAAAATGTTCCCTCCAATAAAATATAACTATGCCTACAACAGATTATTTGTACAACAACTTCAACTGAACTGCTGTCTCAGTTACTATTATCTGCCCTGTGGATTCTAATGCATCATAACTATATCGATGGCAACTACTCGTTTATCCTGACTCAAAGTTATACCCACAGGCTGATGCTCTTGAAGCAGAAGTATTACTGTGTCTGGCAAAAGACAAGTTATCAGAACTGAAATCCTATCCTTACAAGGTCTGGGCCTGAGACTTCAAGAGAGAACCAGTTTTATTATACCTAAAGACTCTCCCTGCACCTACAAACATACATGGCTAATGAGTCAACAGCATTGCAATGTTGTACCAGTAAAAGTTAGTATGTCATTTCCAAAGAATTAGTTTTTAATTTAAAAAAAGAAGTTTAAACACTAACTTATTAAAATAATAGTCCAAAGACACTGCAGGGAGAAAACTGACATGTAAATAAAAATGCTATCTGTCAAAAGAATTGATTTGATGATGTAAATAAGTCTATTATTTCTTCTGTTGCTACCTTGTTATTCCCTTTTATCAACAAAAGTAATTAGCTATATTAGCTCATTCTGAACTCTCACGTTAAAAAATTAACTTTTTGTTTTGACTTCACTGCTATTATTTTCTTACATTCTGGTTATGTTTTTTTCTTAATATACTGAGATATCAAGAACTTGTATAGTAGCCTTTTTTTAATATTCTCGGATACTGAGGTCCTTTATAGTTTAACAACAAGAGGATCTTAACAGAAATACTGAACAAAAAGCATAAAGAACAGTATTATTTCTAGTAAATTTTGGCTAAAAGGGAAAGGAAGATAAACAGCTGCCTTTTTTAAAAAAAATGCAACTTCCACATCACTAAGACTCAGGATTTAAGTACTTCCAAACAATGAATTATTTGTTCCCAATCTCTGACAAAGTTAATATCTGTTCCCAAACATAAATGTAATTAGACTCTAGAAACAGATCATGGAATAACTCAAATGAGCAAGACAGTTTTCAGGTACAGAGAGCTTTTCAGAGCTAATCTAAAATGGATGGCCTCTTATTTCACAATACAATATTTGAGCTGCTTTAATTACAAAATCTGATAACATAATCAAAAATACTAATTAAATAGTGACTAATTAGGTTGAAACAAAAACAAAAGGTAAATAAATGAATTGAAATATACCTGCTTGTGCAATTAAATTCAAAAAAGAATTGTAATAAGTCTTGCTTATTATACAAAATTCATTTCTGTTATCCACCATCACCAGTAATTCTTAAAACAAGTGGTTATGAAAATTCATTTCAATGGTAAATTCAGTTTCATAGAATTTTTTAAATTTTAAAGTAAAAATATTCTCTTTGAAAAATAATATTAAATTATTTTAAACATGGAAAGAAACTGCATTTTTATTTCACATTTGGAATATTTCAACTGTTTTTAAAAAGTGATTTATTTAAACAGCTGTAAAACATAATTCAGCTGCAGAAACTGGCTATATTCTTTGTCAAAAGGGCCATCAGTCAAGTGATTAAGTATCAAGGCAACAGACCACACGACAGCTGATTAACATGTACCTCTAGCACAATGTGGCACAAAGCAATGCAAAGACATCAATATCCTAAGAAGGGAAGTGTCAAGGTTCTCTCTGTCTGCCATATTTTTTGCAATTATAAAACAGGTATTAACAAACATGGTGGATTAATATCCCTGAACACTAGAATCCAATTTATCAAGACAAAACGTAGTGTGAACACAGTTGTTAAAGGTCTAATTCATCATGATGTTAGTGTGCCTCAAGAGACAGAGGCTACTATAACTTTAAGAGCTTAGAAATCAGCCATTTTAATGAAAAGAAATGGGCAGATCTTTAAAGAACACAAACATAGCAAAGTAAATAAGAATTCATGTTATTCAACTGACTTTCTCCCCAATCAATCATTAATAATAGCTAAAACTTCCATAACATACCTACTCACTATGTATCAAGTATTGTTTTAAGCACTTCACATAAAACATATTTAATCTTCAAATCTCCATTGTATAGATAAGGAAACTGAAGTATATCGATGTTAAGTAATTTACCCAGGTTCACTAGATAATTCAAATTCACCCAGTCTGGTTCCAGAGTCTGTGCTCTCAATCACTATGCAAAATTCCCATTTTAATGAGAACAGAAGAACTGCTCCTCAAAGAACACATACAAAGGCAAAATAAACAAGAATAGCAACACAGAATAATGATATATACTACATCATATATATGATAGTAATGACATATAATAATTTAACCTGTGTAGTAAATTAAACATAGGGAGATAGAGAGTAAGGTAGCCTCACAGGGTTTATAATTAGTGGGAAATATTATCGACAATACAAGCAAATGCCAAATAATAAGAACAAAATATGCTATGGAAATTCAGGATTCTATGATTACTGAGGCCTGCTGGAAGAAAATGGATGATGCATGAATATTCTCAGTCATCAAATATCCAACGTAGCTGTCACTGGCCAAATACTGACCTAGCTGATGGAAAACCAGGATGTTAAAAAACCAGAACACAACATTTGAGAAATTCATGGAACCATGAATTAGGCCTGCATTACTGCTAAACTGGGCTACTGCAATAGCTGCCTTACCAATTCTGCTACTCCTGACTTTCCTCTTTTCTAATCCATTTGAAGGACTGAATTAGGGTAAATTTCCAAAAACATAGCTGTGTTCACATAATTCTCCTCATTTACTAATATGTGAAATCCAAACTCCAAGTATCACAAAGGATCCGTCACAACCTGGCTTGACTCTTTTCTTAAAACTTATTTTATTTTTAAAACATATGTATATAGCCAACGGTTCAAAAAGTATACAGAGAAAAGCAAGTCTCTCTCCCAATCTTGCCAAATAAGCACCCAACTGCCCTCCCTAAAGGCAACCAATAATTTCAGTTCCTGCATCCTACTAGAGCTACCCTGCGCATAAACAAGCATGTATGCACTCATAGTCTTTTTTTTTAAATTAAGCATGTGGGATGATTACATACATATTGATTTGCACCTTGTTTCCCCTCATCCCCACCTAACAGGATCCTGACAAGCATTTCTTATTAGTAGATACTAGGGCTACCTCATTTTTTCCCAGTGGTTGCACAGAGTTTTCACATGTGGATGTATCATAAATTATTTAACCAGCCTATTAATGAGGAACATTTACTTTCTGGTTTTTCACTGTTAAACAATGCTGCAATAAAATAAAAAGCTTTCTATGTGTGTCATTTTTCTCATATGCAAGAATATCTTTAAATAT